TATTTCACGTTTTATAAAGACTGTCACTGTTAACACAAATCGGCATGATATATTTGCCATTGCTATCTTATGTTATGTCGATCGACCGTTATTTCTGTGGAAAAGACGATATGTTTTTCCATTTATATTTCAGTTTCAAATTAGGTGTTGTCTTGTGCAGGTAATGTGTTTAAAATACAAGTATATATTTCCTAATTTAGGGCTCAAAAACATAGGGCGTCTTATACACTGAAGAAATACGGTTAACTGCACATCGGGAATTCCCGCGCGTGCTAAGTAGTCGAATGCAGCAGCCATTCTAGTTGTATGAGTATGTATAGTGTGTGTATATATATGAGTGTATGAACGGGTGAGTGTTTGTGGTCATGCATGCTCGTGTGTGTTTGATAGTGCATGCATGGGTATGTATGAATGTTTGAGGGGTGTGTGTATACAGATATGTATGTGTGTGTATGTATATAAGCTGTATTATATGTGTATCTGCATGCATATACCACCCACACTTCTGTGATCTGTTATATGAACATAACGTGCTTTAAAGATTTTGCTGTGTGTACTGTTATATCAACACAACATACTTTATCTTGACCCCAAATTTTGTATTGTTCCCATACGACGTTAGTTACATCTCCTATCTTAACATCGAATTATGTATTGTTCCCACACGACGGTAGTCATGTCTCCTGTCTTGACCTCAAAATCTGTATTGTTAACATACAACGTTAGTCAAATCTCCTATCTTGGCCTCAAATTGTGTTTTGTTCCAATACGACGTTAGTTGTATCTCCTATCGTGACCTCAAATTCTGTCTGTTCCATGCTTCATGTAATATTCAGAATTATTCTAGTGAACTGTGACTAAAAAGCTTAACGAAATGGGGAAGTAGAACAACATGCACAAAACACACAAATCAATGTTTCGGCAAGGGCCTTTCTCGACATAAACTACACAACAATAACAAAGGGGACAGTACTCCAACCACTAGCACCCATTGGGGAGTCACGTAAGAGATTACAAAAAGGGTATGTGGAGTAAATAAAATAGATGCCCGAAAAATGGTCATAAAAGTCAAAGTGATAATATATATTAATAGCAGGAACAAAACAGTAGCAAAAATACAACTGTTAAAAAAATCCATTTCTGATAAGAGATGGAATAAAATAATAATATGAAATAAAATATAATATAATATAATATAATAAGCATTAAATAACATAACACAATTAAAAATAATATGGCATTAGTAAAACTAGATAAAGGTATGCTGGACATTCATTTAATGTTGAAGGTAATAAAGTTAGGCTGGACATTCATTTAATGTTGAAGGTAATATAGGTAGGCTGGACATTCATTTAATGTTGAAGGTAATAAAGTTAGGCTGGACATTCATTTAATGTTGAAGGTAATATAGGTAGGCTGGACATTCATTTAATGTTGAAGGTAATAAAGGTAGGCTGGACATTCATTTAATGTTGAAGGTAATAAAGTTATGCTGGACATTCATTTAATGTTGAAGGTAATATAGGTAGGCTGGACATTCATTTAATGTTGAAGGTAATAAAGTTAGGCCAGACATTAATTTAATGTTGAAGGTAATATAGGTAGGCTGGACATTCATTTAATGTTGAAGGTAATATGGTAGGCTGGACATTTATTTAATGTTGAAGGTAATAAAGTTATGCTGGACATTCATTTAATGTTGAAGGTAATAAAGTTAGACTGGACATTTATTTAATGTTGAAGGTAATAAAGTTAGGCCGGACATTCATTCAATGTCGAAGGTAATAAAGTTAGGCCGGACATTCATTTAATGTTGAAGGTAATAAAGTTAGGCCGGACATTCATTTAATGTTGAAGGTAATAAAGTTAGGCCGGACATTCATTTAATGTTGAAGGTAATATAGGTAGTCTGGACATTTATTTAATGTTGAAGGTAATAAAGTTAGACCGGACATTCATTTAATGTTGGAGGTAATAAAGTTAGGCTGGACATTCATTTAATGTTGAAGGTAATAAAGTTAGGCCGGACATTCATTTAATGTTGAAGGTAATAAAGTTAGGCCGGACATTCATTTAATGTTGAAGGTAATAAAGTTAGGCCGGACATTCATTTAATGTTGAAGGTAATAAAGTTAGGCCGGACATTCATTTAATGTTGAAGGTAATAAAGTTAGGCCGGACATTCATTTAATGTTGAAGGTAATAAAGTTAGGCCGGACATTCATTTAATGTTGAAGGTAATAAAGTTATGCTGGACATTCATTTAATGTTGAAGGTAATAAAGTTAGGCCGGACATTCATTTAATGTTGAAGGTAATAAAGTTATGCTGGACATTCATTTAATGTTGAAGGTAATATAGGTAGTCTGGACATTCATTTAATGTTGAAGGTAATAAAGGTAGGCTGGACATTCATTTAATGTTGAAGGTAATAAAGTTATGCTGGACATTCATTTAATGTTGAAGGTAATATAGGTAGGCTGGACATTTATTGAATGTTGAAGGTAATATAGGTAGGCTGGACATTCATTTAATGTTGAAGGTAATATAGGTAGGCTGGACATTCATTTAATGTTGAAGGTAATATGGTAGGCTGGACATTTATTTAATGTTGAAGGTAATAAAGTTATGCTGGACATTCATTTAATGTTGAAGGTAATAAAGTTAGACTGGACATTTATTTAATGTTGAAGGTAATAAAGTTAGGCAGGACATTCATTCAATGTCGAAGGTAATAAAGTTAGGCCGGACATTCATTTAATGTTGAAGGTAATAAAGTTAGGCCGGACATTCATTTAATGTTGAAGGTAATAAAGTTAGGCCGGACATTCATTTAATGTTGAAGGTAATATAGGTAGTCTGGACATTTATTTAATGTTGAAGGTAATAAAGTTAGGCCGGACATTCATTTAATGTTGGAGGTAATAAAGTTAGGCTGGACATTCATTTAATGTTGAAGGTAATAAAGTTAGGCCGGACATTCATTTAATGTTGAAGGTAATAAAGTTAGGCCGGACATTCATTTAATGTTGAAGGTAATAAAGTTAGGCCGGACATTCATTTAATGTTGAAGGTAATAAAGTTAGGCCGGACATTCATTTAATGTTGAAGGTAATAAAGTTAGGCCGGACATTCATTTAATGTTGAAGGTAATAAAGTTAGGCCGGACATTCATTTAATGTTGAAGGTAACAAAGTTATGCTGGACATTCATTTAATGTTGAAGGTAATAAAGTTAGGCCGGACATTCATTTAATGTTGAAGGTAATAAAGTTATGCTGGACATTCATTTAATGTTGAAGGTAATATAGGTAGTCTGGACATTCATTTAATGTTGAAGGTAATAAAGGTAGGCTGGACATTCATTTAATGTTGAAGGTAATAAAGTTATGCTGGACATTCATTTAATGTTGAAGGTAATATAGGTAGGCTGGACATTTATTGAATGTTGAAGGTAATATAGGTAGGCTGGACATTCATTTAATGTTGAAGGTAATAAAGTTAGGCTGGACATTCATTTAATGTCGAAGGTAATAAATGTAGGCTGGACATTCATTTAATGTTGAAGGTAATATAGGTAGGCTGGACACTTATTTAATGTTGAAGGTAATAAAGTTAGGCCGGACATTCATTTAATGTTGAAGGTAATATAGGTAGTCTGGACATTCATTTAATGTTGAAGGTAATAAAGTTAGGCCGGACATTCATTGAATGTTGGAGGTAATAAAGTTAGGCTGGACATTCATTTAATGTTGAAGGTAATAAAGTTAGGCCGGACATTCATTTAATGTCGAAGGTAATAAAGTTAGGCCGGACATTCATTTAATGTTGAAGGTAATAAAGTTAGGCCGGACATTCATTTAATGTTGAAGGTAATATAGGTAGTCTGGACATTCATTTAATGTTGAAGGTAATAAAGTTAGGCCGGACATTCATTTAATGTTGGAGGTAATAAAGTTAGGCTGGACATTCATTTAATGTTGAAGGTAATAAAGTTAGGCCGGACATTCATTTAATGTTGAAGGTAATAAAGTTAGGCCGGACATTCATTTAATGTTGAAGGTAATAAAGTTAGGCCGGACATTCATTTAATGTTGAAGGTAATAAAGTTAGGCCGGACATTCATTTAATGTTGAAGGTAATAAAGTTAGGCCGGACATTCATTTAATGTTGAAGGTAATAAAGTTAGGCCGGACATTCATTTAATGTTGAAGGTAATAAAGTTATGCTGGACATTCATTTAATGTTGAAGGTAATAAAGTTAGGCCGGACATTCATTTAATGTTGAAGGTAATAAAGTTATGCTGGACATTCATTTAATGTTGAAGGTAATATAGGTAGTCTGGACATTCATTTAATGTTGAAGGTAATAAAGTTAGGCCGGACATTCATTTAATGTTGAAGGTAATAAAGTTATGCTGGACATTCATTTAATGTCGAAGGTAATAAATGTAGGCTGGACATTCATTTAATGTTGAAGGTAATATAGGTAGGCTGGACATTTATTTAATGTTGAAGGTAATAAAGTTAGACTGGACATTCATTTAATGTTGAAGGTAATAAAGTTAGGCTGGACATTCATTTAATGTTGAAGGTAATATAGGTAGGCTGGACATTCATTTAATGTTGAGGGTAATATAGGTAGGCTGGACATTCATTTAATGTTAAAGGTAATAAAGGAATGCTGGACATTCATTTAATGTTGAAGGTAATAAAGTTAGACCATACATTCATTTAATGTTGAAGGTAATAGAGGAATGCTGGACATTCATTTAATGTTGAAGGTAATAGAGGAATGCTGGACATTCATTTAATGTTGAAGGTAATAAAGGTAGGCTGGATATTCATTTAATGTTGAAGGTAATATAGGTAGGCTGGACATTCATTTAATGTTGAAGTTTATATAGGTAGGCTGGATATTCATTTAATGTTGAAGGTAATATAGGTAGGCTGGACATTCATTTAATGTTGAAGGCAATCACATTTCTATCACACAACCTAGATCGCCACCCGCTGGAGCAAACGGACCTACCTGATGTGTACCCTTGAGCGAGCTCGCAACGTCGTCATGCTGATCGGCATCATCATCGTGTGCCTGGACATCAACCACTTCTGGACGTACGGTGTGCCCAAGCCAGGATTTGCCTGCATGTGAGTGAGACTAACACGGTCTGATGTAGACGGACGGACAGAGGGACTGACAGATTGACGGACGGATCGACGGATAAAGGGTCTTGTTTTAGATCAGCGGTTCTCAACCAATGGGTCGCGACCCCTTTTTGGGGTCGAATAAACCTTTCACAAGGGTCGCCAAAGAGTATCACAAAACACATATTCACTGAAGTTATGAAGTAGCAACGAAAAAAACTGTATGGTTAGGGGGGAACTATATTAAAGGGTCGCCGCTTTAGGAAGGTTGAGAACCCCTGTTCTAGATAGACATTTAAAGACAGACAGATGGAGGGACGGGTAGAGAGACTGGTGGGCGGAGGTGTACCCAATCCAGGATTTGAGTGCATGTACGTGAGTAAGACTAAATGGTCCTGTTCTCGGCACACAGAAGGACAAGTGGGTGGACTGACGGACAGACTGGCTGGTGGAGCCTCTTGTTCTAGCTATATAGACAAACAGTCGGATGGACGGACGCACATATGGACTGACGGACGGAGGGTGAGACCAAGCCAGGGTCTGCGTGCATGTACATGAGTGATGCTATAGGATTTTATCTAGATAGATACGGACGGACGAAAGGGTTTATGTGCATGTACGTGAGTGGCACTATAGGATTTTATCTAGATAGATACGGACGGGCGGAGGGACGGACGAAAGGGTTTTCGTGCATGTACGTGAGTGGCACTATAGGATTTTATCTAGATAGATACGGACAGACGGAGGGACGAAAGGGTTTTCGTGCATGTACGTGAGTGGCACTATAGGATTTTATCTAGATAGATACGGACGGACGGAGGGACGGGCGGACGAAAGGGTTTTCGTGCATGTACGTGAGTGGCACTATAGAATTTTATCTAGATAGATACGGACGGACGGACGGACGAAAGGGTTTTCGTGCATGTACGTGAGTGGCACTATAGGATTTTATCTAGATAGATACGGACGGACGGGTTTGCGTGCACGTGCGTGAGATAACAGGGTGGGGTCTACGGTAGAGCTGTCGACAGACTAACAGAGGACAGCTGATTGGATAGCTTGAACACGTGTCTTCGACAGATCTGTCGTCAGACACGACAGTCTCGTCGACAGACACATTACCAGATATCAGGACGGGCGAGCGAATCGATAGCGTGGCCTGAATGTCGCCGTTAGTGTCAGACAGACAGACAGACAACAGACATAAGGAAAGGGGAGAGGAGGGGGGAACAGCGTGTCCTAAGTAGAATGTCATAGGTAGAAAGACTGAGAAGGAAAAAAGGGAACAGGGAGAGGGAGGAGAAGACAGAGAGAGAAAGAGAGAGAGAGAGAGAGAGAGAGAGAGAGAGAGAGAGAGAGAGAGAGAGAGAGAGAGAGAGAGAGAGAGAGAGAGAGAGAGAGAGAGAGGTGTCAATCAATCCGATAAAAACTACCGTATTTCAGACCGTGGCACTAGACACGTGGCCCTAGAATCCTAATGATCCTGAGGCCCCCACTCCCCTCCCTGTCTACACCGCCCAAACAAGTGGCACACATAGACACTAGTGACAATGAGTGTTAATCAGAATGACAGACAAACAGGCATACAGACACAGAGATAGGTACAGTAAGAACCAGTAACAAGTAAACTGTTTCCGCGGCAACGGGTTTCAAGGACATACAGAGGCAGAAAGGCAGACAGACAAATATAAATGAGCGGTGACATATGTTTCTGCCGAATTCATTTTTATCAAGTGCCTTGCCAACTGGCGTGGGCGATCATGTCTCTTTACGGTCTGCGCCCTTTAACAGCATGTATCTGTTGCTGTGCTGACATTCCTCCATGCCATGATATAAAGGCTGTCAAGAATCTGCACAACTGCGCCACGGGGAGTGGGGGGAGGGGAAGGGATGAGAACCACCGACAGGATTAGAGAGAAATCACTGGAAAGTTGGACAGGTAGAATGAAGTAAAATGTGATAGAATCATTCCACCCCCACACACTGTACTGCATGTAACGTCTTTACTCTAGGGTTGTCCTTATGTATATTATCATACATAAACATCATTATCAGTCAGCAAGTCCTTTACAGAACGTCGCTCTCCTCACGGCACGCCTGAAAGTTTCGCTTTCCCTAGCCAGCTGTCCAGCCCCATGCGCTTTCAATGCCAACACATCTTCAATGTCCTGTGTCCATGTTCGCAGAGGTCGGCCCCTGCCTCGCCTTCCACAAATTGCACCACCCAACACCGTCTTTTCCAAGCTAGCATAATGTTTGATGTGGCCAAAGTACTTCAACTTTCGGGACAGGACACTGTTTACGAGCCAGTTCTCCTCGATGTTTAACTAGTGTAGAAAGTCGATGTTTTCCCTCTTCTTAATCCATGGGGTTCTGTTTTTCTGTAACACTTCAATTCAGAAGCTCCAGTCTTTTTCTTCAGTAACCGAGTGAGAAGTCCAGGACTTACAACCATAATTTGCCAGAGGAAAAATCAATGATCTCAAGTTTTTTACTTAAACTAAAAATAATCATAACATGGTCAGTAGATAACATACAACTGTGGTATGAAAGAGAAGTGTTTGGAAGGGTCGAATGTAAGACGGGTCTGCGTGCCTAATTTGAAACCCTTGTGGGGGGGGGGGGGGGGTGTTCGTTCGTTCGTGTTATATGACTGAATGGGGTTAGAGGGATTAGCTCGACTGTAATTCTGACCCATGAGACATTGTTAATCCTGCGGACACCGATCCAGGCAGGCAACAACCACCAGCCGGCCGGCCAACCGACCGAGCAGCCGGACGAAAGAACGGTCAGATAACCGGCACAAGTAGATACCCGTTCGAGAACGTCAGACAAACAGACAGCCACCCAGCCATGCCAGCAGAAAATGACTGACAGGTCAAGTAAACATAGAGAGAGAGCGCGTGTGTCAGGTGAAGTGGACGGACCTCCTGATTATGGTCGGGCGGCCTAGGGGAAAGCAGATTGTCTAATACAGGGCCGTTCAACTAAGTTTAGTCAGGGGCCAATATGTTCAGGATGGGGATCGTCACGGGCCAGAAGCTCGAGCCTCAGCATAGAAAGATCATTAAAACAATACAGTTGCCAATGGCCAGCGGGCCACTTGCTAGGCCTCTGTGGGCCAGACGTGGTCCGCGGGCCGAAAGATGAACAGCCCCGGTCTAACAATTAATGATAGCGTTTCACTGAAGGGGAGGGGGGGGGGGGGGGGTAAATAGACAGAAAGACACGGACAGAAAGAGCTAAAGCTTATGAACACATTTAATTGCAGATACATGGAAGAGTTCTCCGAGAACTTCAAAGACTGGGTCTGGCCAGCCATCGACAACACGGTGGAACTCGTCCTGCCCGTGACCATCGTGACCATCTGCTTCTTCCTCACCGCGGCCAGCATGATCCGGCGCCCGGTCAGCAGCAGAGACCAGGAGGTGGAGATGAAGAACTACTTTCTGGAACTGGCCACGCTGAGAGACTTCAGCACCATCTGCTTCATCCTCTGTCTCTTGTTCATATGCCTAAACGTATGCCGCGTCACCTACACACTGACCACAATAGTCTCTATGATCGGCTACTTCGAGGTGGACTGCCCAACCCTCCGAGGCATCAAGACTGTGGACGTCACGCTCAACTACCTCTTCTACAGCGCCAAGATCTACCTCTACATGGCTTTCAGCACCATGTTCCGCGCTAAGATGCGAGAGAGATTCCTCAACGGTCGCCGGAAGTTCCAGAGCTGCTGTAGAATGGTCTGCATGTGTGGCTACAAGTGGGCGCCGGTGCCCCCCAAAGACAAATGCGACGATGCCAGAATAGCGCCAGGACAAAGCAAACGCGATCATCCGGACGCCAGTAAATCAAATAAACCGACCCACAGCCAAACTGGCCATGACAAAACTGGCGCTCACACAAGTGCTCACGGCGACAAGGATTCTTACAAAAGTGCCCCAAGTAAATATGACCATGTCGACGCAGGAGACATCGGCCTAAAATACTCGAACAACACCGAGGTCTCGGAGTTTCTCAGAGAAGACTCAAAACGGAAGCACCAGGCAGGAGCCAGCAATGACGTTAAGGCCACTAAAGTGTAAAATGGTTTGTCTAGAAGAGTGTTTGTGTGTGAGACAATAACTGAGAAGTGTAGGACTGGTTAAGTTCAGTAGCTGCCTGCCGTCCGTAAATTAAATGCTGGTCAGCTCCACGATAATCTCCCCATGGAAACTAGGTCACGTTACATTCATACATTTTTTAAACTGGTCTGCTGGCCGCTATGTTAAATTCTTTCTGGCTTATCTTGCATTTAAGTTTTTCTTCCGAGAAAGAGCATGACTGTGACATAGGCTGCAGCACTCTCTCGGGGAGTTGTGTGTTAGACCCAGTTTCTAAATGTGCGTGCTTAAATATACAACACGCTATATCAACGGCATTGCCGAACACACCCGTAGCAGTGTGCGAAGGGCCAGGTGAATGCAGGTTGACCAATCAAAAGTGAGCTAGTGTGTATTAGGGCGGTGCGTAGGGATATTATCATGGAACTGACCTTAATGCTTTCTTGCCTGCATTAAAATATCATCATGTAACTTAACCTCGAAAAGCCCACTGGATCATGGGCTACTCAACCTACACAGTCGCTACAAAGTTAAGCATCATTTATTAACATTGACAAATTCTTCCCATACATGCCCAGTGTGGTGGCGTGTGAGGGACATAAGAAAGTAAACTCTTAACTTATTTGAACAAATCAAAACCATTAAAGTTCCTTTACAAGATGGTCATTGTCTGACAGCTGCAACTGGGCCTAGGATTTTATGGGTTAGACCGCACACCACGCAACATAGCAGACTTACTGAATACATCTTCTCTATTTATTACCCAGACTGCAATTTAGGTTCTGGGACACAATCTTTCCTGAACAGTTCCAAAATACTCAGTCATGCACAGAGCATTGTTAGCAGCAGAATGAGTGGCCTACTAAAGGATAATGAGGAAAAACCGAGGACACTCAAGACATTCTACACAGACATTTATATAGACATCTACACAGACATTTATATAGACATCTATACAGACATCTACACAGACATTTATATAGACATCTATACAGACATCTACACAGACATTTATATAGACATCTATACAGACATCTATACAGACATCTACACAGACATTTATATAGACATCTACACAGACATTTATATAGACATCTACACAGACATTTATATAGACATCTATACAGACATCTACACAGACATTTATATAGACATCTATACAGACATCTACACAGACATTTATATAGACATCTATACAGACATCTACACAGACATTTATATAGACATCTACACAGACATCTACACAGACATTTATATAGACATCTATACAGACATTAATATAGACATCTATACAGACATCTACACAGACATTTATATAGACATCTATACAGACATTTATATAGACATCTACACAGACATTTATATAGACATCTATACAGACATCTACACAGACATTTATATAGACATCTACACAGACATTTATATAGACATCTACACAGACATTTATATAGACATCTACACAGACATTTATACAGACATCTACACAGACATTTATACAGACATATACACAGACATTTATACAGACATCTACGCAGACATTTATATAGACATCTACGCAGACATTTATACAGACATCTACGCAGACATTTATATAGACATCTACACAGACATTTATAAAGACATATACACAGACATTTATATAGACATCTACACAGACATTTATACAGACATCTACACAGACATTTATATAGACATCTACACGGACATTTATACAGACATCTACACAGACATTTATATAGATATCTACACAGACATTTATACAGACATCTACACAGACATTTATATAGACATCTACACAGACATTTATATAGACATCTACACAGACATTTATATAGACATCTACACAGACATTTATATAGACATCTACACAGACATTTATATAGACATCTACACAGACATTTATATAGACATCTACACAGACATTTATATAGACACAGACATTTATATAGACATCTACACAGACATTTATATAGACATCTACACAGACATTTATATAGACATCTACACAGACATTTATATAGACATCTACACAGACATTTATATAGACATCTACACAGACATTTATATAGACATCTACACAGACATTTATATAGACATCTACACAGACATTTTATATAGACATCTACACAGACATTTATATAGACATCTACCCAGACATTTATATAGACATCTACACAGACATTTATATAGACATCTACACAGACATTTATATAGACATCTACACAGACATTTATATAGACATCTACCCAGACATTTATATAGACATCTACCCAGACATTTATATAGACATCTACACAGACATTTATATAGACATCTACCCAGACATTTATATAGACATCTACACAGACATTTATATAGACATCTACACAGACATTTATATAGACATCTACACAGACATTTATACAGAACAACAGGGTGTATTTCATAGAAACAAAAACAATCAAATAAAATACTGAGGTTCTAGTATGGCTGCTCCTTGTGTGGGCTCTGAGGCCCCACTGTGGAGAAAACAAGAATGGACCCACTGTCTCCCCCCAACAAGCATGTCGCAGGAGTCAAATAATTGAAGACTTGTTTTTAAATTTTGAAGTGCATCTACCAGAGTGGCAAGGAACAACCAACTGCACACACACATAAGCCAGTAAAACGGATGTGCATGCAAAACTCAGGCCCTGACACTAAAGCCAAAGTCCATAGGGACGAACAACTGAGACTTTCTGCTGCAGCTTACAGCAGGTGAACAAAGAAGAAGAAGAAATACTGACAATGGACTTCTGGACACTGGTCTTGTTCCACAACTTGAGTTTTGTGTGCACATCCCTTTTACAGATCTGGCTTATTTGTGTGCAGACTGTGGTTCTATTATTATTATTATTTTTTTTTTTTTCATAAAATGGGGCCCTTGAACCCACACTCGGAAACATTTTTGATTGTAGCAAAAATCAAATATTTGGAATGCTGATTCTATGCCTCCAAAACAGAGGATTGTTGACTCATCCAAAAAAAAAAAAAAAAACAGGGAATTACTACACAGCACATTAACCATAAAGATTTTGGATTGTATGGTTCATCAGAGAAGCAGAATGTGGTTTGTATTGCTTGTCAAATAAGAGACTGAGTCCTGAATAATTCATTATATGGGGTAATGCTGTTTACTCATCAAAATAAGAGGAATAGTGTTATCTAGTGGGGGAAAAAAAGTGGTCTGTTGATTACTCCTCAGAAAGAGAAAGATATAAAAAAAAAGAATGTTGACTACATATTAGGAAAAGGGCTGTTGACTGCTCCCCCTCAACAACAACAAAACGAATGATGACTGCTCATCCCCAAAAAAAAATTGGAATGCTCATCAAAGAAAGGGAATATTGACTGCTCATCAAAGAAAGGGAATATTGACTGCTTATCAAAGAAAGGGAATATTGACTGCTCATCAAAGAAGAGGAATGCTGATTGTATGACGCATAAAATAAGAGGAGTATTCATCGCACAACATATCAGAAAAGGGTAATAATGGTTGCATGGTGGACGTAATATAGATGTTAACAGTGTGGTATTTAAATGAAAAGGTATACAATAAGAGAGAGAGAGGCAAAGAGAGAGAGAGGCAAAGAGAGAGAGAGGCACAGAGAGAGAGAGAGGCAGAGGGAGAGAGAGGCAGAGAGAGAGAGGTAGAGAGAGAGAGGGGCAGAGAGAGAGAGAGGCAGAGAGAGAGAGGCAGAGAGAGAGAGGCAGAGAGAGAGAGGCAGAGAGAGAGAGGCAGAGAGAGAGAGAGGCAGAGAGAGAGAGGCAGAGAGAGAGAGAGGCAGAGAGAGAGAGGCAGAGAGAGAGAGGCAGAGAGAGAGAGGCAGAGGGAGAGAGAGGCAGAGAGAGAGAGGTAGAGAGAGAGAGGGGCAGAGAGAGAGAGAGGCAGAGAGAGAGAGGCAGAGAGAGAGAGGCAGAGAGAGAGAGGCAGAGGGAGAGAGAGGCAGAGAGAGAGAGAGGCAGAGAGAGAGAGAGGCAGAGAGAGAGAGGCAGAGAGAGAGAGAGGCAGAGAGAGAGAGAGGCAGAGAGAGAGAGAGGCAGAGAGAGAGAGAGGCAGAGAGAGAGAGGCAGAGAGAGAGAGAGGCACACAGAGAGGGAGAAATGAAAGAGAGAAAGCAAAAAACAAACTTTATTTCTAAATGGTCACAAATTGGGCATGCAGGCCCATCTTACACTTGACCTTGTCAAACACTCATGTTTCATACTCCCAGTGTATGTTATGCATCTATAACAAAATATATAATAGGAGTATAAGGTAAAAATTACAGAGAGAAAGAGAGAGTAAGAGGGAGAAAAGGGGGGGGGGGGAATGAGAGAAAGAAACAGACAGAAAGAAAAAGAGAATGAAAGATGGAAAGAAGAAGTGACTGTGACAGTGAAAAAGTCAGCGAGATTAAGTCAAAGAAAATGGATCAGAAACAGTGAGAAGGTGGGCAGAGACAGTTAAGTATAAGTGAGACAGTGAGCAAGACAGTATAAAAAAGACAGACAATGAGAGAAAGAGGACGTCCTGTAACTGTGCATGAGAATGAATGACTCTCATTGTCAAAAACAGTAAGACTGCCAAGTCAGAGAAACCAACTGAGAGATGATTACAGCACATTATTTAGTGATACTGGCAAACTCTATTTATTCTTGTGTTTCTACTTCTCATCAAAAAATGTCTTTAGTAAAAGCTTTAACACAAATTTATCATCAGCAAACTTTTATCATGGTGGCCTTTAACATCAAATTATCATCAAGAAACAGTTGTTCCATTAGCTTTTACCATTAATTTATCATTTAGAAACGTCTGTCATGACATTCTTTAACAGCAGATTATCACCAAGAAACTCTTATCGTATTAGCTTTTACCAGCAATTTATTATTAACAAACTTCTATCATGACAGCCTTTAACATCAATGTAAAACCAAGAAACTTTTATCATGACAGCTTTTAACATCAATTTAACATCATACAA